TAGATGGCAACAAAATAAATCCTTTTGCATTGGTAAGAAGTGTACTTTCCATCCTCCAGTGGCTCTTATACAGTGATACTGAGTTAAAATTTAATACATGACGAAGACTGCACACTGCATTCATGTATACACAGTATAACTTGTGTGTGTGCAGTTTTTTTGTTTTTATAAGGTTCATTACTTTATTTTTCTCACCCCGGTCGCTGCCGTTGTGGAGGACTTGTGCAGCAAAGCTAGTCTATCTCACACAGTCCCCAGAACGTGTTCACCGACCGCTTGTTTTCCTGTTTAAAAGCACAGTTGCCTACTTAATTGTGAGCATCTGAGAGAAAGCAAGAACCCCAAACTGCTACTTCCTTCCGTACTCTGTAATCCAACACAGAACCCCACTGTGTCCAGATGTGTGGGAGTTTTCCCACATACACAGTCAGAAGAAAAACTCGGAGGAAAATTAAATCGAACAGTTACGTTGAACCAAGGACAGTGAGTTGGGCAGCCCTCGGTGATACTTCAATGGTTGGACAATATTTATAAACAGGAAAAGGAAATCGAGGAACAGAAAATGCATGTGACTGTAGAAAAAGGAAGCAGGGTACAGAAAAAGGAAGTGAGGTGCGGAGACAGCTGGATTGCTAGGAGCTTGGCACTTGCCTGATGCGACCGTGTCTTGAGTAGTTGCCACACACAACTGACTGAAGCTTGGCTCTGGTGACTGGCAGAGACTCAATGACTTGAGGCAAATGCCTCAGTTTTTCAGTTTGTTTACATAGTGAATTAGCTGAAGTTTTGTCAGTGGGGCTGGCTGGCTCAACACGTCTAACGCCATGGAACTCTACCGGATAAAGATGGGTGCCGTAGAATTCAGTTCAACCTGACAGGCTACCCCACCACACCCCACTTTAGACAAGCATTGCCAAATTCTAGGTTGTGACCTCTGCTTACGACTGTGAGTCGGTGTCTTATGTTTCATTCTGGGGTCCAACCATTTGCTAGGCTGGTTCACAATATTCAGAAGAACATTTTACTTATGTTTATCATGAGGGATGGCGTAAAGAATACAGCAAACAGCCAGATGAATTACATAAGGCAAGGAAGGCATGAGGCTAGAGACATAGCCTCCGTCCGTCCAGCTTCTCTCCCAGCTTACTAGTCCACCATAAATTCATCTTTCTTTTTGTGGCTTTATTGTGGATAATAAAAGCTATTTTATTAGGAAATAGGAGCCCTGTTGTGGGAAGGTGGGACAAACCCCAATACCAGGTCTGCCACAGAGTAGTTCTGTCATTTCACCAGGATTTGGGAGGAGGGGCTAGGGTGCTTTCAGGGCTGAGTAACCCATCTTGAAGTCATTAAAGTTAAGTTCATGAAGTCATTCAATCAAGGTTCCTTCTAAATTCCCTTTTAGGAAATGTGGGTGCTCTGGCTGCACCCTCTTTGATGAATATTTCTTTCATTTTTTCTCCATTAATTTATTTATGTATGACCTTTACATTCTGACCTGATCACAATCCCCTTCCTCTCAGTCCCTAGTTGACTCTGTTGGTCTTCCTGTGGAGTCCCTGTCCCCTCCAGGTTCCTCAATCCCTCCTATAACTCTTCTACAAGACTCCTCAACCTCCATCTAATGTGGGTCTTGGTATCTGTTTCTGTAGCTGCTGCATGGAGCCTCTCAGAGGACAGTTACGCTTGGCTCCTGTCTGCAAGCATAATAGCGTATCATTTATAGTGTCAAGGATTGGCTCGCCCGTGGGATGTGTTGGCCAGTCATTGGTTGGCCAATCCCTCAGTCTCTGCTCCGTCTTTGTCCCTGCACATCTTGTAGGCAGGAAACATTTTGGGTAGAAGGTTTTGTGGATGAGTTGTTGTTCTAATCCTTCCACTGGGGATCCTGCCTGGCTACAAGAAGTGGCTACTCCAGATCCGTATGCCGTACTGCTAGGAGTCTCAGCTAAAGTCACCCTCATAGACTCCCCGAAGCCTCCCCCCTCCCAGGTCTCTGTCATGTCCTAGAGATCCCCCCACTCCCCCCCTCCATTCATTCTCCTGGCCCTTTCTCCCACTCTTCCTATTCCTAATCCCCCCGCCCGGCCCCGAACATTTTTCATAAGCCAAGTATTTTCGCAGCAGCCATTTTACTCCTCCATTTAAAAGTGGTTCACTATTCTCTTTTGATTCTGTTGGGTTTGTTTTTCTCTTTTGATTCTTGAAACAATACTGATGAAATACTCTTTCATGTTGTGACACAACGCGCGGATGCCAGTGCCGGAGGTCACATGTAGAGGCTAGAGGAAACCTTCAGCCACTTTCTACATTATTGCTTTGAGAGAGGTTCTCTCAGTGAACATGAAGCCTACTGTTTGGGTTAGATTGTTTGTGTGTTTCTGCCTCTCAGTGCTGGGTTAGCAGCATGTGTAGCCATGCCTGCCTCTTTTACTTACTCCTGGAGAGTCTACCCCATAATCACACAGAAAATGTTCCTACTCACTGGACTATCTCCCTAGCCCCACCCTGAGTCCTATTTTAAATATCTGAGACATTCTCTCAAGTAGCCCAGGCTGGCCTTCAGCTTGATTTATAGTTTGAACTCCTGATCCTCCTGTCTCTACTTCTGGGGTGCTGGGATTACGGCTTGTACAACTATCCTCAATTTTATGCCCATGGCCTCACGCACTCTAGATAAACACACTACACCCCCAACCCCTGGTTACTTTTGATCTTTATAATTAGTGGTCCTGGGTGAGCCGGCAACACAAAGTTGCTTGAAGCAGTGGAAGGCAGCAATGCCTCGAAGATGACGCAGCAGCTAGAGCGTTCCAGAGCATGATAGCAGCAGGATAGAGAGAAAGGCAATGGAGTTACAGACTTCTGTAAAGAGCTGAAGACAAAAATCTGGGTGCCTAAGGGACTAGAAGTGTTCCAAGGAGTTGTTAAACTTCTATGGCCACTGGGCTGTAATAGCTCTTGCAGGGAGCTGATTGTCCAAAACCCAGAGCCCTTACTGGAGTTGCAGTCTCAGTAGGAACTGCCTGCGGCTCCCTCATACTGCTGTTGGAAGTAGAGGGTTACAACAGTTGCAAAATGTAGGGGTCTGCTGGTGGTTAAAGTCCAGGGCAATAAGCCTCCAGCCTGAATGCCTAGTCATGTCTCTGGCTTCTAAAGCATGAAGCAATAGGCCCCTAGTTATTACAGTTTGAAGCTGTGAGCCTCTAAGTCCTTTCATCCAGCCCACAGGCTCTCCAGACCCACGGCCTTGGAGGCGCCAAAGTCAGAAAAGCCTCTCTGCTTGTCTCACAGTGTTTGTTTGTTTTTTTGACACAGGATCTCCCTGGCTATCCTGGAACTTGCTATGTAAACCAAGGTGCTTGGAATTCACATCCTCCTGCTTCTGCCTCCTGGCTGCTGGGATTAGAGGCACGCACAGCCATGTGTGGTCTCTCAGGATTTCTTTCTATCCAGGTAAAGGTAAAGGACCCCAGACAGACAGCTGTGATTGATAATACTGTCATCAGGGTTATTTAAGTTAACCTATACTCTTATAAAGCCACAAATAAGCCTAGTCAATGAGACATTCATAAAAGTACTCTTTTGAGTTGAATAATCCACTAAAAATGGATTAGATAGCACCTACTCCCATGTGTCCTAAAAGACACCCAGTAATTTCCCTCCCCATTTCCAAGTTTTGGATATTTTTTTTTCTGGCATCACGTTTTTGTTTTCTTTTAGAGTATATATACACATTCATTTTGCAGAAGGGCATGAAGAGTGGAGGTGAAGGTTGTTTTTCAAAATGTCTTGAATGGTGGATTTGTGAAAAAAAAAAAACCGATCTGTGAGGGGTCATAGAGAGCTGGTTTTACCAAAGAGTTGCCTAAACACACAGAGACATTTTCACAGGGTCCATCTACTTCCCAAAGCAGGCTTCTCTCTTTGTTGGACAAAAATAATCTTCGAGAAAGTTTGTTTCAAGCGACTAGGAAGTTTATTTTTAACGGCTTCTTCCTAAGGCAGCCCAAGTTCAGCCTTATATGGGTGTATCTGCCTGTAGTTAGCGGTAGGGCTAGTTCACGGATGAGAAAGCAAATGAGGGTACCTGCCGAAGTGGGGCGTGTCCCCTGCACTTGGACGGCCCTCCCCCCACAACTGATCTTACTTCTTCAGCCTCCCTCAACCCCAATTCCTAACTCCCGCGTTAACTCTCTGCCCCCAGCCTCCCACCACAGTCCACCCAATGCATAGATCTAAGCAACACTCGCAGTTTCTCCTTAATCTAATATTGTCTGTCCCTGGACACTCAATTTCTGCTTCGCTCCAAACTTCAGAGGATCACGTGCGCCCCCCCCCCCGGATTCCCTCACGCCCTGATGCTGACCCTACTCTCAAGAGCAGAGTCCTTTAACTCTGCCTTATATTTCTCTAAAATTTTGTCCCCACCCTAAAACGGTCCCTCAGTTTCTAGAATACACCGTCTTCCTTCATCCACGTCTTTCTCACCACGTGTCTCTCCCTGTTCGATTCCTAACCTGCCAAGGAGGGTGTCGTCCAGCAAGCAGCTGGAACTTCTGTTTTGTCACCTGTTCCAGCATGTGCACCCTAAGTGGACTGACCCATGACTTGTCGCCCTCTCCTCTCTTTCCCTCCGTGTGGCGGCCACCACGTCCCAGCTCTCTGACCCCTTCAGCTAGAGACCCTTTCCTGTGGCTCTTGTAGTTCTCTGGTCTCCCCGGGGGTGGGGGGGGTGTCCCACAAGTCACACTTGCACCGCGGTGTCCACCCCCCCATCCCTCCAGCACAGTCAGCTTTCTCCCCGTGGCGCGGCTCGCGAGCAGCCGGTGCACGAGGCGCACCTAAGTCGGGGGATCCCGGACTGCGCTCCCCGCCGGGACCCGCGCACGCTGCCCAGCGCCGGAAGCCTCTGCGCCGCCCCTTCCCCGCGCCGCTGGCCTTATCTCGGCGCACAGGGGCCCCTGGGGAGTAGCGGGCGCCGGGAGGGAGCCGGCGGCATGGGCCGGGCGCCCCGGGGCACGCGCGGCTCGCCAAGCTGCGGGTTACAGCGGCTGCTACGGCTCGTACTCCTGCTCAGCCTGGCCCGCGGCGTCAACGGAGAACCGGGCATGGACGGTGAGTGCGGGGCAACGGGCGCGCGGGACGCTTCGCGCTCCGGGTCTGGAAGCACAGAGTCGGGGCGTGGAAGGATCATGGAGGCGGAGCGGCGAGGAGCACGCCAGGCTGCCCGCCCCGGGGAAGGTGGGGTGTGCAATGGAGGCGGCCCTGCTCCCATTCGCGCCCCCGGGGTGGGTGGGGGTGGGATGGAGACTGGACTCGGGTGGGGGCCTGGGAGACCGGCACACCGCGTGGAAAACATGGCAGGGAGAGCCACTGGTTCTACGCTTCCAGTCGCACTGGCTTTTGCAAGACAAATTCTTGACCTGTAGCCATTTTTTTTTTCTTTTCATATTTTTCTTCTACAGGAAGAACTAAATGTTAAGAATGTGAAGAAGTATAAGGAAGAGTTTATCCTTTAGTTCATTCATCCATTCGTTTACTAGTCTGTTTATCCATGCATCTGTGTATCCATCCATCCATCCATCCATCCATCCATCCATGGAAAGTCCTTTAATATCTTCCCTGGGAAGTTGGAACTTCCCACTGTTGGAGTTCTAGCGGTGCATAGTCCCAAAGAGATAGGCAAGCAAATAGTTTGTGTTCTAGACAAATAGGAAAAACAAACAAACAAACAAACAAACAAACCGCAACATTGAGCATGACGGGATTTACCTGACACGGAGGATTCAAACAGGAAAGTGAGGTGAAGTCTGCCCACAGAATAGCAGAATGGTGCCCTGGTCAGAAGAGGGAACAACCATATTTTACTGGGCAGCTGTTATGCATGAGTCAAGCTGAGCCTTGGGGACTGGTGATATTTGGATTTAGGAGAAGGGAGGAAAGGCGTCCCATCTCATAGAGGAGGGGGCTGACTGCTATTTAGAAATTCCTGTAAAAGTGAATCCAACTTGTGAGATAGGCAGGATTGCCCTGAATTCGAGGGCATCCTGAGCTACATTGTGAGTTCCAGAGTAGTCTAGTCTACAAAGTGAAACACTGAACAAACAAACAAAAGAAAACAAAAATACCCAACAGAGCAATGGATGAGTTTCAGACAGGGGATAGCATAGGAAAGCAGGACACAGAACACAGAAATGGCTAGAGATGGGTAACAGACTGGATTTTGCAAGAGGGAATCAGTCTCATCTTGATGGACAGAGCATGGTGTTTGGGTTTAACTGTTCCTTCCTGGTGAGACGCCACCAGAAGCCATTGTAGGATACCGAGGAGTGATGTCAAATAACATATATAAGGACTCCCAGTCTCTCACTGGCATTTCCTTAATAAAGCCAAGCATTGAGCTCCAGAGTGGTGGTGGTTCATGCCTTAACCCTAGAATTTGGGACTCTGAGGAGGGAGAATTGCTGTGAATTTGTAATCAGCCTGGACCACAGAGTGGAATGTCTCAAAAACAAACATATGCAAAACCAAACAGGCTCTAGAAGTGGAAAAGAAACGGGATGAGATGAGTGGACTTGGGGAGGATGCCTGTCCTCCCGAAGTCTCTTCTCCTGTTACTTTGTTGTTGTTTGGGATTTTTTCTGAGACAAGATTTCTCTGTGTAGCCCTGGCTGTCCTGGAACTTTCTCTGTAGACTAGGCTGACCTTGACCTAAGATATCTCCCCGACTCTGCCTCCTGAGTGCAGGGATTACTGGTTGCCTAGTGAATTTCTCTGTTACTTTGGGTATTTGATGTCTCAGCTTTCTAGAATGGTTCCTCTCCACCTCCATCATCTGGTACTCCAGTAGGCTTTCTTTCTTTCCTGTTGGGTCTCTGTCTTAGGGTTTCTATTGTTGTGATAAGACAGCACACCCAGAAACAATTTGGGGAGGAAACGGTTTATTTTAGCTTACAACTTCCAGGTCACAGTCCATCCTGAGAGAGAGGTCAAGGCAGGAACGTGGAAGTAGGCACATGGAGGCAGGAACTGAAGCAGAAGCTGTGGAGGGGTGCTGCTTACTGACTTGCTCTCCATGGCTTGTTCAGCCTGCTTTCTTGTACACTCAAGACTACCAGCCAGGGGAAGCACCGCCCACAGTGAGCTGGACCCTCCTACACTAATCTTCAATCAAGAAAATGCACCACAGGCTTGCCACAGGCCTATCTAGTGGTGACATTTTCTCACTTGAGGTTCCCTTTTCCAAAATGACTCTAACTTGTGTCAAGTAGACATAAAACTAGCCAGCACAGTCTCCTGTAACACTGTGAATAAAAAACCTGAAGAGAATTGAAAACGGTTTTAGTACCGGTGTGAAGACTCTAGCCTAGGAAAGTATCAAGTGTGGTCCATTAATTATTGGTCTAAGATGGCTGAACATAACTAGCAGTCGCACTGTCTGCACCTTCTTTCTTAATGTTTTTGGTGCTGTGGGTTGAACTCAGGCGCTTGTGTCTAAGTATGGACTTCACCCCTGAGCCGCATCTCCAGGCCACCTGCCAAGTGTGAGGTGTTTTGGGGAAATGTAGTTAGGGCTGGCTTGTTGAGCGCCTCTCCTTAAGGTAGACAGTTTCCTACAAACTTAGAGAGAATCCAGTTCTACAAAACCCTCCTTTCCCAAAGGTAGAAAATGTGGGGGTGAAATGATCCTCCTGCCCCAGCCTTAGGTGCTGAGAATTATAGGCATGTTCTACCATGCCCAGTTCAGGGATGAGGTCATGGGCAGAGTATTTTAGATGGACGATGGAAGGAAGACAGAAAGATGTAGCAGCCAGATGGCTAACACCCCTGGGCTAGTGTGGCGCTGAGGAAACCAGAGTTGGAGCTCACAGCATGCCGAGAAAAAGCCTGTGGACTCGGTGACTCTGGCTGGACACAGGATTACTCTGACAAGTTAGAAGGAAAAGCAGGGTGCTCTTCAGTTGGGCTGGTCAGGTCAGAGGATTCGGCGAGGAGTACGTCCCATCTACTCGCAAGTTAGACCAGCACTCATTATTCAGCAGGGAGAGGTGGAAATACAAGAATGGACATGATGTTTAATTGAGCCCTTGTAAAGCTGGGCCTCAGGTGGGAGAAGTTAATCCCAGGAAGGAAAGATCAAGAAACTGCCGTTTCCTCCTCCTCCAGTCATCTACCTCACGAGTGCTGGTCAGATTTCAGAACCATGCTAGCTGCCCTCAGTGCAGTCCACTTCTCTTTGATGCTGTGACACTTCTCTATTGCCCACTTGTATGTGTTGTGACTTTGTTATTATGAATGTCACATAGGAATAAACAGGAATCACCCAAATAGGAACAAGCAAACTCCTGGCTGTAGCAAAGGAGTAAGCCATCATCACCTGAATTTGCAGTGGGGTGATGCCAAAGCCGGCTTTGGGAGTGGGAGAGCCTTGGTGGGAGGGCTTTAGGGATGCCCAGCTTGGGGAAGCTGGTGTCTATTTACTAGCTATCTTGTGTGATTGTTTAGGGGCTTACTTGCCTTTCTCTGTGTGTATATGTTTGTGTTTTTTTCTCTCTGTGTGTTTGTGTGCGTGTTATCTATGTGTGTTGTGTGTATATGTGTGTGTTGTGTGTCTGTGTATGCACGTGGGGTGTATATGTGTATATGTGTATGCATGTGGTGTGTGTGGCTGTATGTGTTGTGTGTCTGTGTATATGTGTATGCATGTGAGTGTGTGTTGTGTGTTGTGTGTTTGTGTGTATGTGTATGCATGTGGTATGTGTGTGTGGTGTGGGTGTGTGTACTTTTTTCCTGAGACAGAATTTTTTAGTGTAGCCACAGTTGGATTCAAACCCCTAATTCTCCTGCCAAGTGCTAGGTTGCAGGTGTGTGCTGCATTCCTGTCCTCTCAGTCACCCCTGATTCCCTCAGTAGCCTGTGCTGAGTTGCATTTAATTGCTGGAAGACGTTTGGGAGAAATGAGCTGAAGCCTGAGTTTGAGGGAAGTGGGAAAGTTTAAACTGGGGAGCAGGAGGGTGTTGGTGGGTGGGTGGGGTGCCTGGCCCCGGGATTCATGAGGTTGGTAATGGGTGTGGAAAGGCCAAACCAGTCTGTCCTGTTCTCAACCTTTCTGTGGCTTTCCTCGTGAGTCTGGGAGTGGCCCTGGGACTTGTTGGCACAGGCCTGGCTGGGTTCAGGAAGGCCAGGAGAAGGACAGAACCAGGGGATCATAGTGGAGGAAGGATGGGCAGAGCTGGGGAAAGCCCAGTGTGTGAAGTGTCTCTGTTGTGTTTCCCTCTCGGTGTCTTCATGAGTGAGAGCAGGCAGCCTGGTAGACAAGAGGAAGGAGAGAAGCAGAGAGTGGTTTTAGAGGGAGGGAAAGTTGCTCCAGGCTAGGAGTGAGAGGAGACGTAATGAAGGACTTCCACTGTGCCTTGCCTTCCACCCCCTTGACC